TCTCCATGGAGATGTTATTGCTTTGTCTGAAATCTTTCACAGTAATAATAATAAATCTTTATTTATAAATCATTTTTAAAACAAGGTTTATAAAGTGATGTACACAAAGAACAATACAAAAAGCATAAAAATAGCAAACAGAAGGCATACAAAAACAGTCATATAAACCATTTAATTAGTTATAATAAATAAAAAGAAATAGAATAAGAAGAAATAAGGAGTAAAATGAAGCCAAACCCAGTTAAAGGAAAGCTAACTGATAAAAAATTGTTTTAAGAAGTGATTTAAAAAATGATTCTGATGGCACAAGCCTTATTTATACAGGCAGGTCGTTCCAAAGCCGAGGGGCCTGGACTGAAAAAACTTGATCACCCTTCCGGTACCTGGACTTTAGAACAGCCACAGGGACATGCTTGAAAATCTAAGGCTGTGGGAGGGCTCATATGGGGTTAAAAGTTCTAAAATGTAACTTGGTACAAGACCTAAACGAGCTTTAAAAGTGATCAGGCAGCCAGTGAAGGGAAGCTAAAACTGGGGTCATGTGCTGATGTCAATTAAACCCAGTGAGGAGCTGAGCTGCTGCATTCTGAACCAGTTGGAAAAGGGAGATGGATTTGGACTCAATGCCAGAGAGGAGGGAGTTGCAATAGTCTAGACATGAGAAGATGAGCACGTAGATGATTTTTTCAAGATTAGGGGAGGATAGTTTTGATTTTGCTAACTGTGTGGAAGTGGCAAAAACAGGATTGGGTGACTTTTTTGATTTGAAGTGAAAGTTGAGGTGAGAGTCAAAAATGATGCTGAGGTTTCAGCAGCAGGGGTGATGTTGGGAGCAAGAGGGCCAAGACTATTGCTGATATGAGAGGTGGCTTGGGGGGGATTGATTAAAGTGATGACGAGCTGTTGAGTTGAAGGAAGGTCTGTGCCATCCAAATGTTCATGTCATTGAGGCAGTTTAACACAGCAGCCAGACTCCCACGGTCATTTGGTTTCAGCTGGAGGTAGATCTGTGTATCGTCAGCATAGCAGTGGAAGGACACGTGGGAGCATATAAACAAAAAATAAAATGGGACCTAAAATAGATCCTTGTGGCACACCACAGGTAATGGGGGCAGAGGAGGAGGTAAAAGTGTCTATAGTGACCACCAAGGTTATGTCTAAAAGATAGGAATAAATCCAATCAAGTGTATTGTCTGGGATGCCAACCCAGTTCGATTGAAGCGGCTCATTAAAATCGCTTCTTCAGCAGTGTCAAAAGTGGGGCTTAAATCTCAAAGAATTTAAATTGTGTACTCTCCTCTGTCTGCAGCTACAAGAAGATCATTTTAGACTTTGAAGAGGGCTGTTTCAGTGCTATGGGATGCTTTAAAACCTGATTAAAATTTCTCAAAGATGTGAATTCTATTCAGAAAATCTTGAAGCTGGTTAGAAATAACTTTCTCTAAAACTTTGGATAAAAATGGAAGCTTTGAAATTGGTCTAAATTTTTTTAAATCAGAAGTGCTTAAATTAAGTTTCTTTTAAAAAATAGTATGGTATTAAACAGACCAAACCAGACCAAGTTTCAGCTCAGATCTTTGAGGGAGCAATTCCGCTCACAGTTTTTTATAAACCAAATGTACTTGAATAAGTGTAAGGTAGAGCTGTTTAATATAATACTGTGGAACATTGCAGGCAGAGCAATGCCATATACATAGAAAAAAGCACATGAAAGATCCCCAACCAAAAAATTATATCATGCCCTTTTAATGAGTGGATACACTTGTGCACTTTGGGCCTATGTATCAGTTACACTAACTTCTCAGCACCTCTGACTATCATGCACTTGGCTGAATTCGTGGGCTAAAGACATCCTAGTATTTAAACAGTTCAAGCATAGGAAATGTCTGAGCTATACAATAATTAGGCAGCCTAATTTCTCTGTGCATGGTGAGGTCTTTGTTCATAATGTGCTACCGTCAGCAGCGGCCATCCGCCTGGCTTCTTATCGGGAACATATGGGTGGGAAGAATATTTGGACTTAATCAGGTTTTTGCCAGTTTCTTTGGAGCACTGTGGCTTCATACACACTCTAACAGTAATGAGCGCCCTATATTCACCCATTTCAATTTCTTGTAATTCATCTGATGTTGAGCTCAGGGCCACTGGTGCGTCCCTGGAGGCTGGTGGCTGCAGCTGCCTGCTATGTGAATGAATGTGTATCTATCTGAGTGTGTTCTGTGTGAAGGCCTTCTGGGAAATGTAGTGCTTGCATGTCCAGCCAACACACCAGCCAGGAGCCACCACTGTCTCACAGGTCGATCCTCAAGTCATCAATCTCCTCTTGGGCAGCCTTGTCCTTGTCTCGCATGCCCTGTCATTGTTCTATTTGGTCCATAGTCCTTGAAACTTAAAGGCTGAAAAGACAGTTGTTATTAACACAGGAATAGGGAAATTATAAGAGTACAGACTATTTCTCTAGGAATAAAGTATAATGGATGTCTATTAGGAGTGCAGCATGTTGAGTGGCCCTTATACATATTGACTTTAAAAGCATGATTGTAATTTATTTATTTATAGTGCAACTATTTCAATTTAAATGAATATAATGAATTTACATAGCTATCCTTTGGCCTGTCCAAAACCAGCTAAAGCAAACTTGGGGAGTAAGGTGACAGAGAGCATTATTAGAAGACATCCCATCAGTGCTGGCGTTTCTATATAGGGTTACATGGTTTAAAAGTAGTTAAAAATAGTCATTATAGACAGGCTCTGGGCTGCTCTTGCGCATTCTGCTTGAAGCGTATTGGCGTGTAACTCGGCAGGACTTAAAACACTGATGTTTGCAGATAACCTTCGTTCAGTGCATTCTGCTAATGCAGCAATCTGCCCTCTGCTGATTACCCTGTTATCCAGCAGCATTGTACACACACACGCACGCACATACAGCCAGTGCGCGGGGTCCTGATTTTTAACAACATAAAAGTGCAAACGAATAAGTATTGACTCAATATCTGCAATGCTTAGAAGTTTAGAAAAGAGCTGGAGTTGTTTGGTCTAAGTTCGGTCCACTGAGAGAAGGTTATTCCAGGTGGCCGTTTACAGTATGGTGCAATGAGTCCAGTAGCAAATTACAATATGTTTGCGCTAAGGTTTGCCATTGACACAACAGTAAGAGTTTGTTAATTAGGTTAAATATAATGTCTCTGGACATCTAGAGTCAAAAATAGTACAATGACATTGATGAGGGATGATGTGGTATGTGTTATTATGAGATCATTGTGGCTACAGGCAGGAATCAGGGGCGGCTTTGCTGTAAATACTGAGAACAAATTTAATTTAAATGACATCTGCCAGTGTTAGCTGAAACCAGGAAGTAGACTTTACTTATTGGCACTGGCAGATGTTCTGGTGTAAAAGGCTGAGCAGAATGGAGCAAAGCAGAGGTTAAAATATCTTACTGTTTTGACATTTCTGAAGAGTGGCCATTTTGAAGGTCTTTAATTTAAACCCAGCATGAATGTGCGGTCCAGAAAACATTATTATCGACAGGACGTGTCTGACAGGGACATGCCACCAGGGACGAACTGATACGTTGTGTAACACTACTAACCACAGTTCACTTCTGGCAGAGCAAAGGTGCAGGCGAGGCCTTATTGTGTAGTATATGTGCACAAAGCCAAAATCAGTGTAGCGCATGGCTCCCAGCTGCTCCACGCCAGCAACCGGACATGTGCGCCTCCTGCACACGTCGCACACATGAGTGCTCCCGCTCTGAGTCTATGCCCTCCTGTCTGTCTTTGTCACACTCACAGGTGGAGCAGGAGCTGTCCCGCAGCACATCACTGCTCTATTTTCAGTGGCTTTCACGCTAACACACTGCAGGGCATCTGGTGCCTTCTACACCATTACTTTTATTATAACTCAAGATGGCTCAATCCCAAATCAAGCAAATGTTTTTTATCTATGTGACGCCAGTAATGTATGTTTTTTTCTGTGAACTTACATTTTGCTGGTTGCTGTGGTAACTGCTGTTGAGTGGGCCTCGTTATAAGAGTACACTTATAAAGACTCATTTGACATTGATGAAAGCACAAACTGAACACTTAGATAGACAGCCTTCAGTCCCCTCCCATTGGTGGTCTGCTAGTTACCAATGTCTTGAGGTGAATGTTGAGCAGGGTGCATGTGACATAAGCACCAGGGAGCCCCATGATGTGCAGGCTTTCCTGGCTCATTAGAAAAAGCTGACGGTGCAGCCTCCTCTCCCCCTCCCAGCGCCTCCTCCACCTCCGCAGTGGATCGACACCAGCGCACTGGCCGCTCAGAGACCTTAAAGAGCATCTGCACTGCTCTGTCCCACACTGCAGCAATGCTCTAATGATGCTCCATGGGAAGTCCCCAGCTTTTAGAGAAGGGTCTAACATGGCTGCCAATAAGATTCCCGCACCACAATAAATCACCTACACTAGTGTACTAGTGTGCAGAATATTGGATACTGTCTGCTCTCAGATGCTTAGATTTAACAACTGCCAAAATATTTTGAATATATAATTATAGTGTTTGTTACAAATGATGAAGTTATATCTCACTGTATTGCCACTTTCTCACTGTCTCCTTGATTTAAAGAACAGTGGTATCAGGCCTCAGTGTTTGAGCATGATAATGTCTGTTGTTTTACTGAGCACTATACCTTTATCAGCGATCTCTGATCAGTGACCTCATCTGTGCATGCTATCTGGAGCATACCATCCTACTGTGCTGTACTTTGTCACAACAGCTGAGTGAAACACAGAAAAAGAACACATGGTTGTGCATGCACACAGGTCTTAGTTTAAATTTATGTTGTTCTTGCACATAATGGCATTTCCCTTGAGGGTTTTCTAGTTAAACCAAACTAATACCTTTAATCAATGGTTGGCGGTCAGTTGGATCTTTACTATCATTACTGTGTTTTATTAACTTTTTGTGTTTCTCCACTCTCCTTCTCTTCCTCCTCTTCTTTCCTTTTGTCTTTGCAGGATCCTGCTGACTGTGGTGGTGATCTTCCGTATTCTTATAGTGGGAATAGTGGGAGAAAAGGTCTATGAGGATGAACAGATTATGTTCATCTGCAACACCATGCAGCCTGGCTGCAATCAGGCTTGTTATGACAAAGCCTTTCCGATCTCCCACATCCGTTACTGGGTGTTTCAGATCATCCTGGTGTGCACGCCGAGCTTGTGCTTCATCACATACTCTGTGCACCAGTCGGCCAAAGCGCGAGACCGCAGCTACTCTCTGTTGCACTCCCACATGGACCACTACGGACATGGCCATGGCCGCCACCACGACCACCATGCCCGCAAGCTACACTCGCGCAACATCAACGGCATCCTGGTGCACCCCGACAGCAAAGAGGACCACGACCTCCTGGATGTGAAGGAGATCCCCAATGGGCCGAGCCGGGGCCTGCCTGTCACCAAGAGCGCCAAAGTGCGGCGGCAGGAGGGCATCTCCCGGTTTTATGTCATCCAGGTGGTCTTCCGCAATGCACTGGAGATAGGCTTTTTGGCTGGCCAGTACTTCTTGTATGGCTTCAATGTACCTGGGATGTTTGAGTGTGACCGATACCCGTGTGTGAAGGAGGTGGAGTGTTACGTGTCTCGGCCCACAGAAAAGACCGTCTTTCTGGTCTTCATGTTTGCAGTGAGTGGAATATGTGTGCTGCTCAACCTGGCAGAGCTTAACCACCTCGGCTGGAGGAAGATAAAGACAGCCATCCGAGGGGTACAAGCTCGCAGGAAGTCCATCTGCGAAGTACGTAAGAAGGATGTTTCCCACCTGTCCCAGGCTCCAAACCTGGGCAGGACCCAGTCTAGTGAGTCCGCCTATGTCTGACAGAGGCTCCTCCAGCCAGGGGCTCGAGGACCTGTCAGACTGTGGAGGAGAGCTTTATCCTGGCTTAGTAGCCCCAATTTAAGGGGCACCATTTAGACTCACCAGTAGATTACTATTGAGGAGCACACACAGACTCTCTGTAGTTACAATGAAGTTCAGAGACACTTGAAGAATCACTTCCAAAAAGGCACTGTGTTGCCTTTTCTTGTACAAACTGTACCAGAGGGCTCTGCTCTGCCTAGGTGACACTAGGTGCCTTCATGAACTCTACAAACACAACTGAGCAATTACAACTTAACAGACTGAAAACCCAAGTTGAATTATGTAGTCTTTATTATTAGCCTTTTGCTGTTGGTTTACTAAAAACAGCCCCCCCGTTTTTAATGTGTGCATATGCAAGAGCTTAAGCGTGTGCATGCACAGGCATGTATGTGGGAAAAAAGCCAACGTCTGACTCATGTCAGAATCTTGAATGCTTAGCTAATCTGAGCTAGAAAGAGAAGGACAACTTTATTACTGTCCATAAAATTTGGATAAAGTCACATATGGACTTGATGCACCTTTTTATTTATGCTTAAGTAAAGAAACAAACAGCACTAAAACGACTAACTTTAACTGGAACATGTCTCTGTACTGTACTAAGCTTTTTATGAAACTCTAGTCCAATCTTTGTCACTTTAGGTGCCAGACGTATGTTATGGACTTCTGCTGTAAGTCAGCAGCAGAGCCTTTGTTACATAAACACTTGTTATTGTCGGCAGATACACTACAGCACTGTGTAACACACAACCTGATGGTGATGCCTTTGAGGCACACTGTTTCTTTCAGAGTCACCAAACAGTCCAGAGCAGTGCGTTTGTGATCACTGTCTAAAGGGTTATCGCTGTTACATACAACTTTTTCAACTATTGTAGCCACAGATATTTTCACATTTAACTCAAGATTTTTCACAAACAAATGGTGCCATATTGTACATAAATGAAGTATATGACTTAAGCCTTTTTTCCTGTGCAGTATAGACAAGCTGGTTTGGATTGAGGGGCAGAAGTTCAGGTGAAAATAAAGATGAATCATAGATTTCCAGCTTTAACAATATGTATTAATAATGTGCTTTTTGTTAAGTCTTCACTGTGGAGACTATACCCCCAAAGTGTTCTCCCTATGGACAATGAAAGGCATGTTATTGAAGCATTACTAGAATGGATAGATAATGACATGTAATTTAAAACAAAAATGTTTTATTTATTTGCATCCTGCTCCTGTAAAATGTAGTACTCAGCATGCATTGAGATGAAAAATATAAAGTGAAATGATTATAGTATCCCCATGTGGGAATATTGAAAGTGAAATCCAGAAAGGCTCAAGAGATGCAGCAATAATAATATATAGTATGTGAAAAAATATGTGAATAAATTATTATGCAAACAGATACTTTTGTGTAGTGCCTTTTTGTGTACTCAGTGGGTTCTGTATCTCCAGTAATAAATATGTTTACTTAAAGCTGAACCTTTTTGGACTGTGGCATTGTGCACTGGGTTTACTTTTTCACAAAACACAATGTGACATTTTTCACAGAGCTTGGTCAAATTTGAGTTACAAATTTAAGAAACCAATTTACAAATTGCACTCACATTTGCACCATATATGAATTGAATAACATAAATCTAAGCATATGATGTGTGTAATTGCTGGTATAGTCTATACCAGTGCCGTGTGATGCAGTGCTTTAGACACTGATTCCCAATCTCGTCCAGCTTGCATTATTTAATATATAGAAATGATACAGCTCATTCCTTCCTGACTTTCTGTTCATAAATAAAACATGCTAAACTTTTTACCTCAAACTTCACCAGTGGTTGAAACTAATTTGTTTCACAGTTCAGGGAGGCCTTATAGATAAAGCTTTGTTATTATTATTTTATTTAATTTTTTCACATTTGTTACTTTTGATGATGCCTTCTCGATGAAATTATTTTCTTTTCCCCCTCAACTGGGAGATGTAAACAATAGTGGCAGTGGTACTAGCAACACTTAAAATTTCTTATTTAGAATATAATTTGGTGTAAATATACCTTTTCTCAATCTCCAGTATTTTCAGGCCTGCGTGACATATGGGCTGGCGGTTTATTAGAGTGAATCTGATCATTCCCGTAATGAGGAAGGTTACAGAGGCAGAGGAGGAGAGGTGTGGGGGTGGTGAACCTTTTAGCAGTATTAAACCATCAGACAGAGCGGGCGGAAGTCAGTGGATCCTGGGGGACACTGTGGTTTCCAGCTAACCACCCTGACACAGACTCGATCATATTTGATTGTCTCGTAGGTTTTTGCATGTCCAATAATGAGTTTTGTACTTATTCATTCACTTAAAAGCCAACTGTGTATCTATATTAACATAAAGATATTAGCAACTACATAGTTCACATACAGACCCAGTAAATGCCTAAACAAAAGGCTGAGGCTGTAGCAGGCCGTTGCTGTGGTGACAGGAGGTAATGATGTTACATAGACTACAGCAGTGAGGTCTGCAGCAGCTCTAAACAGCAGCACTAAAGCAGCACTGCAGATGCACCACCAGCTGTTCAGTCCCTCACAGAGACAAGGCTCCACTCAGTCACTCACTGTATTTACCATTAAGAGTTTGGGAGGAGGGGCTAAGTGTATTTCTAAATCTGCTTGGACGAGCAGTAAATAACAGAAGCTAGATTGATATGTGTAGCACTCATGACTCAAGTTGTATACATTACCAAACTAGGATGGGGATCAGGAAAAGGTGGAATGTTCAGAAAAAGCATCACAAGAGTAGAATAAAGCAAAAAAATCATTCTTTTGTTAGATCCAGTTAAGAGAAAATACACTTTCCCAAACACGAATGCAAAAATTGCTTCACTCTATATGACTTTCAAAACCAAATATTTATGCTAAAATAGGCTATGTTTGTTTTGATGCTTTAGGGAAACTAACGGCGGTTTTGTGAAGAGGAACTGTTGACAAGACTGTTGAGATTAAATCAATATAAATATATACAATTATTAGTATTGGTGGACAAAAAATAACTTGTATTGTCCCATCTGGTGTAAAAGAAAACTGAAAAAAAATGAAGAAAAAACAGACATAACCACAGACTCACTTCAGTCTGTGGGGCTGCCTGAGGATTGTGCAGCAGCTGTTGTGTCTCCTCATAGATTTATGACATTGCCTATACATTTTTAGGCTACTCTTTAAAGTCTTTGGTCCTGGTTTATGATAGTGACGTTATGTCTGGGCCCTTAAGAACAGACAGGTGCGACTGTTTACATTTGATTAAACCCATAAACACTGATGCTGCTGCATATGCGTGCAGTGTACGGTATTAAGTGTAGTTCGATGCATAACCACAGTTTAATAGTTCATCCCACACTGCCAACTCGAGCAGAAAAGCTTACAAATAGATGGTTTACCACACTGCTATGGTTCAGGAGTGCAATCATGAATTTCAAATGAAGCAAAGTAAATACTCACACAAGAAGATGTGAAAAATGTAAGGTACACAGAAATTCACCCCAATAACCCTGCCAAGGAAATAGAGGCCAGTTAAGCCCAACAGCTGAGGCATATGCTTGCTGTTTGAATCTCTTCTGCTACAATGGATTACAAACTGTATTTATGAGATGTTTCAACACAGGCGAGCTCAGATGCCTGAAGTGCAAAACTGTTCTACTTCTGTTTTTCTATGGGCTCAGAGGATGGTGGAAATGTCAAACACAAAGCCATTATCATTGAAAGTAAACAAATATTTGCACATATGTTTACAGCACATTACTTTGAGATGCACGTTGACTTTAGATACTGGAGATGAGTACGAATTAACATTGTATTACCAGTCTGAAACGTTTATGTTCTAGATCATTATTATTATTTTAGATTGCAATGTTGTTATTCATTATTATTCATTATTAATAACACAATATAAACAGTGTCTCCGTACACTGGTGGGTGTATGTGTTTAAATAGATGATGGTTCCTTGATGTAAAACTTTGAGTGCCTTGAAGGTAGAAAAGTGCTATATAAATATGACAATTTTTACTTAGAGGATATGTTTAGCATTTGTGGCTCTCAGACACCACATATATGTATTGTGGAGCTTGTGAATGCAGCCTGGTAATCCAGGACAGGTGCTGTTCTGTGTGTTGTTTACCAGTTTGCTCCCCCCACTTGCCTGCCCCATACACATACACATAAAATAATTTTCTTCCCTGTGGGAATCAGTCAATATTAGCAGATTGATTAGCATTGACTAGCTTCTTGCAGCCATTCCCTACTTGGCTCTTCATCAAATTTTCATCTGCACAGTGACCTACTCCAGCACTCATATTATTATCCTGCTTGTGGGGAGACGAATCGTTTCATTATTCCTCTTCTGTGTTTCTTAAATATCTCCCTATAGCCTCATTCATAAAGACTAAATTGGAGTTGGCTTTATACGTCTCCGGAGTCTGCCCCACTTGCAGCGTCCTAACGTTGTGCCCCATCAATTCCTGTCAGCCTGTATTCGACTCATTGCAGGTGACTGTGGCTGCTCTGTGCTACCCCGGTTTGGCACTGCTTTCTCTCTGTATGTCTCCATCTGGTCCATCCTGCTCCTGACTCCCTCGACCTTGTGTGTCCTCGCCCACACAGACCTGCACTTGATTTCCCACCATGCACCTGGCCTTCACTTGTCCGAATTAAATAGAGTGAGTGCTGTGATGGATTCCTGGTCAGCACTACCTGTCATAGAGGTTTATTCTCTGTCAAAGCAGCTCAATCACATCTGGACCAAGACAAATCCAGTTGTTCTTACATTAAATGTGACCTCATTGTTTCATATTTCTGTCACTACATAACCAGCAGCTCAATGTCCAACAGTTTAACAACATTTTAAATGTGCTTTCTTCCTGAGCTTTGTCTGTTAACTCGCTCCACATGATGCCTCAGAAGTTTCACAAATATGGAGCGCATGGCCTGTTTTCCTTATGCCTAATTTTGCTCCACACAAAAGCCCATTTGAGAAATTCATTTACTTCTCAATTTGAACAAATGAGTCAAAAATATGTCAACCTCTTCACTTCTTTCTAATCTAGTTAAAATTGGAATCAACAGTGTTAGTCAATAACAACATGTGCCTTCCAGCTCTTTCAAAAAAGCAAATTTAGTTTATAGAGAAAGGTAGAGGTATTTAGAGATAATGGCAAAATTGATAATGTATTTTAAAACCTTGTCATTTTAAAACCATTGTAGCCATTTTTTAGTTAGTCTAAAAATAAGTCAGTTTTATTATAGGCTATATTGAATGTCAAATGCTCATGTAAAGAGCTCTTACATTTCACAATAATATAACAAATCTGACCCAGTAATTTTCTCTGTGGTTTCCTTTTAAATAATCTAATAATAAAAAGATAACTTTGAAGTATTGCTCGGCCTATAATAATAATAATAATAATAATAATAATAATAGTAATAATAATAATAATAATAATAATACTTGCATAGCGCTTTTCTTGACACTCACAGACGTGTCACACAGTTCAAACAGACAAAACACAAATGCAAAAAATAAAACAGATGCAGTTATTTGAAAGCAGTTTAACATCTTATTTTACTGAAGAAAAAAAACAAAAAACAAAACAAAAAACACAACTATAAATATATGTAGTGTTGAGCTCGTCCCCTTGAGTGTCAGCACAGTTTGGAGTTTCAAGCCTAGATCACATGAGCATGATCACAACTGGTCAAGCTTTCCTTAAACATATACCTTCACAGATCCCCTCTAAGAAGCCTTAATCCTCTGCTCCAAGCCCAAATAAGCCAGTGCTGCAATAAATTCATCCAGGCAAGGACACTGCGGGCCGTTCCTGAGCGTCTGCATCACATGGCCCCCTCTGTCATTACGCTGAGGTGATTACCAAAGGTTGATGATGTGGGAAGCGATGGGTCATTTGGTGCTGACTCTATTTTTCACAGCTCTGAGCCACAAATGGAAAAAGCCCACGCCAATTTAAGGCATTCCTGATGTCATTGCAAAAAAAAACTTGAAATGGTTTTGGTAAACAGCAGATTAATATAAAGAGGTAAACAGCAGTTTAATATACTTGTGCATGCAGTATTTGTACAACAATGAACCTTTAGCATCATTTGACCTCGTTGTAAAGACAGTAATTCTTGTTTAAAATGTCTAACATCTCTGGTCTCCATCTGTTTCTGTGCCAAGGACCAAGGTCATTGCAGAAGTAGAGCACTGCACTGTACCCATCACATTTTATGTCTATAATGATGCTACATTCAATTCACTGCATTAATGACCTAAGCATCACCCACAAAGACATGCAGCATACACA